TGTAGGAACCACAAGCATCAGAAGGAAGAATATGGAGAATATTTGAAAAGATAAACTTGAAAGTTCAAAAAGTGTATATTTTTATTCAATTACTATGCAGAGAAATAGGGGGAGGGAGGAGGGTAGGTATACAACCTGGAATTAGGTTTTAAAATATATACCTTTTTACTCAAATAAATGAAAAAGTATGCTAAAAGAAAGGAGAAATCTTTGAGATTAGGAAGTTTTTGTGGAGAAGAGATAAACGTGGTTGCTATCATGCTTTTGCAGGCAATAATCATCCTTTAAAGTGTGCTACCTGCAGATATTCTGATAATGCAAAAATTCACATTTTTTTCCCATTCCATTTTTCAGGTTGCTAGAAAGTCACTGTGCAAAGTGTTGCAGATTCACATTTATAAAGGCACAGTAGGTACTGAAATTCAAAATAGCTAGGTGGCCTCTGAGAACATTTTTTTTCCATAGCACTTACCTGTTCCCCAGTTAGCTTGCAGGGGAAATTGATAACCTGAGATGTTTATTTTTCTCTGACTTTCACAGCACTTTGATGGTCTTGTTGCCAAGAAAGTTTGAAGGGCATGTAAGTTAGTCTCTCATGTGTTGGTTCTACCTTGGAAAGTATGAAAAAATAGGAGATTTTCAATTTCATGGAGTATTTCACATTTGAATCTGGCATTAGGTTAACCTGAATATCTTAAGTAAATTTATAAAAGTTTGTAAGTTCCAATTGCATAATTCCAAGGAAGAAGCATGTATTTATTTCTGTTTCAGAAACAGATTTGTCTGTTACTGTATTTTACATAGAATTATATTAAAAACAAACTAAACAGGAGAAAAATTTTTTCTGTTAAGAATTAGAAAATATTAATATAACAATTTTATATTTTATACCTATCATTTATGACAAATTTTATATTTATTATTCTCCCAAACAATGGAAAATGATTGCAGGTTTTTAGATCTTAAATCCTTTTACATAGTAAGAACTTAATGAATTTTGTTGAAGGAAGGAACTAATTAATGTAATTCTGAGACAATTTGAGGCTTCTTGCCTTTAAAAAGTCTATTCTCAACATAGCAAATTTGTTAAAAGGCATATATGCAATTTATGAGCACTTCATAAAAATTTGTTTTCAAGTCACTTAAAAGTGTGGGCCCAGCTGGGTGTGGTGAGAGCAGCAGTGAGCCAGAAGTTCAAAGACTTTGATTCTAGGCCAGGCACCATTATTAAATGGCAGAATGGCCTTGAGAAAGTGACAGCTCCGCTGGGTTTCATTTTCCACATGAGTGAAATGATTAATTGGGAGTCTAATGAATTCCATGCAGCTTCAAAATTCCACAACGGAATAATTCAAATTAAACAATTTGGACCTAAATTTAATAAACACTGATATAGTGCTTATTATGTCCAGGTAGTATTAGAAGTGCTTTACAAAGTGTATATGATAGAATAATTATAATAAAGCATAGACCATGCATGGGGTAGCATTTTCCATACTGTAAAATATAAGCACATATGAGTTGCTATTAAAATGGTAGCAATTTTACTAAAACTTAATATAGTGCAAGTCATTAAAAAACCAGAATAGAAATAATATTTAGAACTGAAAATAATGTAGGAATGAAAGTAGTTATTTCACTTTATACCACTAAATAAAATTTATATGGCAGAGATACGTGATCTAATCTTTATTTGACTTGAGAGAGTACGCTAGGGTGCACATGACTTCACATCAGTCTCATTACAAATGATTTGGCTGTCATAATCTTGAATGTTCTCACACATATTAAATCACATAGAAGAAAACTTTTGTGAAGACATTCTACCAAGTATTACATCTTAATATAATATTTTTTATAAACGTTTTAAGTGCACAATTCATTTTGGAAGAACAGCTGGAAAACATCATGTGTTCCAAGCCGGCAGTAGAGCTTCTAAATATCAGAGAGGCATGCTTCACGTATACAGTGGGCACATGGCTGCCTGTAAACTTAGAACAGAAGGTAATATACTGAAAGAAAGTTTGATTGGAAAGCTACTAACAGGCTTCCATTCCTAGGCCTGGTTGCAATAGTCCAAATCTCAAACTAAAGGGCTAGAAATGGACAGAAATTTGGCAAACCCCAAATTTCCATGTCTTGACATGCTGCATGACCCTTCTCCTATTACTTTGACAACTGCCCGGACTCCAAGCTTTTTTGTCCCACTACACACCTCCTCTACTCCTACAGGTCCTTTAAGGCCAACTCAGGCACCACTTCCTCTAAGAAGCTTTTCCTGAGCAAACACTCCTGAGTCCCCTCAAATGCCCCCCACCTGCATGAAGGGGTGGACCAAGGTCCCATCTCCATGGTCTTATAAATCTGCGATATGTTTCCATTATTCAGCCTACTACATTGAATTACATTACTGGCCCATAGTCTTTGTCATTCAGTGAACTGTGAGCTCCTTGGGAACAGAAATTGTTTTTCATTCATTTTTGGATTACCCAGAGTCTTGCAATAGTGCATGACACAAATGACATGTTTAAGAATTGTTTGTTAAGGCTTGGTGCGGTGGCTCACGCCTGTAATCCTAGCACTCTGGGAGGCCGAGGCGGGCTGATTGCTCGAGGTCAGGAGTTCAAAACCAGCCTGAGCAAGAGCGAGACCCCGTCTCTACTATAAATAGAAAGAAATTAATTGGCCAACTAATATATATAGAAAAAATTAGCTGGGCATGGTGGCACGTGCCTGTAGTCCCAGCTACTCGGGAGGCTGAGGCAGGAGGATTGCTTGAGCCCAGGAGTTTGAGGTTGCTGTGAGCTAGGCTGATGCCACAGCACTCACTCCAGCCTGGGCAACAAAGCGAGACTCTGTGTCTCAAAAAAAAAAAAAAAAAAAGAATTGTTTGTTAAATGAATGACAACAGTAACTGGTATTGACTATTAAAATGGTTTGCTCCATTGGATCTCCTTCATGCGTTATAACTTGGTCAGAAACTGCAGTGAGAATTGACTGTGTTCCAAGGGAAGCAGTGGAGTGAGAGATGTATTTCTTCTGCATTGATGGAGTGTTTTCATAATCAACAATTTGGTTTAGGTCATCCTTTTTTTCCTCTCTTACTCTAAGAATAGTAGAGAACTTGGGGGGGGGAATGAAACATAATCTTAAAAAATTAATTCAACGGATATTCATTGAACATCTGCTACCCAAGGTGCTATGTCTCCTAGGCAGACCCAGAGTCTGCCCTCAAGGAGACTATAGTTTAGATGTTTAAGAAACTCACATAAATGAAGAAAGCAATGCATGACATCAAAGAGATCAATGTTTACTAAAATGAAAAAACATGCGATAAGGGTCACAGAGAGATCGGAGACAAATTAGCTGGGTTCCTAAGAAGCCCCCAGTAGGCAGGAGAGCTAGGTTGGGTCGTCATGGCTCACAACCTGCTCTCAGCTGTAAAGGTCCTAGATCCAGAGAGGGCCAGGTCCAAGGAGATTGGCACACACACGTACCAAGCTTATTGGAGCCTGAGAAACCGAAAGGCCAATGACTAGTGAACTGGAAAATTAATTATGAGTTAAACATGGCTCAGAGTAAAGGAAGCTGGATGGTACTGTAAATGCTTCAGACACATAACACGGGTGTGCAAGCCAGATTTCCAATACAGCCTTTCTCTCCAAGTATAAAACCAGATCCAGGCTAGGTGCAGTGGCTCATGCCTGTAATCCTAGCACTCTGGGAGGCCAAGGCAGGAGTTGACTGCTTGAGCTCAGGAGTTTGAGACCAGCCTGAGCAAGAGCAAGACACTGTCTCTACTAAAAATATAAAAATTAACTGAGCAATTGTGGTGCATGCCCGTAGTCCCAGCTACTCAGGAGGCTGAGGCAGGAGGATTGGTTAAGCCCAGGAGTTTGAGGTTGCAGTGAGCTGTGATGATACCAGTGCCCTCTACCCAGGGTGACAGAATGAGACTCAGTATCAGGGGAAAAAAAGCAAACAAAACAACCAGATCCAGTATTTCCCCTTTTTAGAAAGTATTGGATAAATAAAGAATCTAGTGGAAACAGGTATATGCCATAAATGGTAACTGTTACGGGATTTCAGAGGGTTAAAAGATGATATTCAGCTGTAAAAATGAAGGGAAGCTTTATGGAAGAAGCAGCAGTCCAGCAATGACTTTGAGATTGCTTAGAGTTTGCAACTGTGACTTGGGGGAGAACATTGTAGACAGAGGGGGCAGCATGAACTAAGAGAGTGAGTGGTTCATTTTTGCTGGAATACAGGGTCTGTAGTGGAGAACGGTGGAATGTTATGAAGGTAAGCTGGAACCAGGTCATCATGAGTCTTGAAGGCCAGTTACAAAGTTTAAATGTTATTCTTTGTGTCGCGGGGAGTCATAACAGAAGAAACATGATTAGAACTGTACTCTGAGAAAATTAATTTGGTTGCAGTGTGAATTGTCTTGGAGGGGTAAGAGGAATCCCAAATTCAGAGGTCTTTGGGAAGCTACAGAATCCACATGGGAGGACTGGAACTAGGACGGTATTGACACAGGTCGAGCAGAGAGAGACTGGAGGTACAATCCAGAACGTACCACAGGGTTTCCTTAAACACACACACACACACACACACACACACACACACACACACACACACACACACAGTCTCCAAAGCAAAATATAACTATAACATATATACTCCAAGTATAATATAAAAGAAAATCTGTCCTAATTTCTATGAAATTCTCCATTTATGAAGATAGAAGATTGAAAAATCATTGATCCATTTAGCCAATTTGATTGATTTTTGGATTGTCTAAGTATCAAATTTGTTAAAACTGGGATTTTTCAAAGCACCAACACAGTGGATATCTATACTTAAAGTGACATCTTAAAAGAAAAGAAAAAAAAATGTCCTTCATAAATAAATGTTCTTCTCTCCCAAAATGTATAGGTGATTTCTCCAAATAGACTTTCTTTCAGACACTCTCTAACATCAGCTAACCCCACTAACAGGAATGTTGCAGACAGCAGAAGCAGGAGCTCTGTGAGAAGTTTGATTACCTGTACGGCATCCTGGAGCAGAGGAAGAACGAAATGACCCAGGTCATTACACGAACCCAAGAGGAGAAACTGGAACACGTCCGTGCTCTAATCAAAAAGTATTCTGATCATTTGGAGAATGTCACAAAATTGGTTGAGTCAGGAATCCAGTTCATGGATGAACCAGAAATGGCGGTGTTTCTGCAGGTGAGTCACTTTCTGGCACCAAGGAAACAACCCAAAAGATAGGTACTGGAAAATTATTTATCACATTTTCATCATTTTATGTACACTTCATTTTTTATCTATTTTGCCAACAAAAATATAAACCCCCATTACACTTATATCTCCATCTATTTAAACAAGTCAGTAAACATATATCTGTGGCATCGCTGAAATATAAGAGGGTTCAGATATAAAACAGCAATTGTTTATGGCATTTAGAAACTAAGCTATGAGATTCTCAGAGTCAGCAAAAGAAATAATTGTCTCACCACTGTCTTCAATGAAAAGAATTTAAGTAAGCCTATCTTTTGCTTTCACAGAATGCCAAAACCCTGTTACAGAAGTAAGTAGTTTTTATTTTGTGGAAAAACACATATTTTCTCTTTTACCCAAGGCTATCAAATTTTTAGTGACAAGGTGGCAACTTGTCTTCGTTGCAGAATCTCTGAAGCATCAAAGGCATTTCAGATGGAGAAAATAGAACATGGCTATGAGAACATGAACCACTTCACAGTCAACCTCAATAGAGAAGAAAAAATAATACGCGAAATTGATTTTTACAGAGGTTTGTTATTCTTTTGACCGTTTGGTCAAAGTTGCAGGTGTGCGAGAGCCGCAGAGGGGTTGGGTGGGAGGGAAGGGGGGATTCAGAATCACATCCGGAATCGATGTCGACAACTTTACAAGAATCATAATCCACTGTGAAGCTCTGTTTCATTGCAGGATCACATAGTTTGTTGACAGTGTTTATTTGGCTTTGCATATTATAGTGCTTATTTTGATGTCATGATTGGGCATTTGACTCTGAGTCGTCAAATACTTAATTGATGGTGATGATGCTATCTCAACTTCAGCCTTACACAAACTGTTAGCCTCAATGATGGGAAGTGTCGTCAAGAACAAGGTTAAGGATGAGAGAAAAATAAAACATAGACAACGTCTAGCCTAGATATTATAGCCCATCGACTTAAGCAAACTTTAGAGGACAAGAATAGTTGCAGATCATAGAGTAAGTCACAGCCTGGAAATTAAGCTGGGTCAGTGTGACCAGATGTGCTCCATGAGCTATAAATGCATTCTTACCTTTTGGCCCAGAAATCCCACTCCTGGAAATTTATCCTGATAAAATAATGGAAAAAAGGAAAACAATCTTGGAGCTGATCAAAACTTTGATCACCTTGACTCACCCTAGCCCATCCAGGTGGCCACACCCCTTGGCTCGACCACCAATAATGCCAAAAGGCTGCGCCAGCATCCACTGATGTTGTTTTAGTAGGGCAAATCTTCAGGATGGATTTTAAAAAAATTATCACTTAGTATCACCTATCTTTAATGTTACCTGAGAGAATATTAAGACCTGTGGGTTTGGCAAGGAGTCACAGTATTAATTGTGGCAAAGATCAGTCTTTACTGCACAAAGATGGTAAGAAATGAAAAAGTGACAAGGGTTTGTGTGCTTTCTGAGATTTAGTTTGACAGAGATAAACAAGTAACAATCCAGCCCTCCAGGTGCTTGCAGATGTGGCAGAGTATGATAGAAACGTGAGCAAGCTGTGGGGGGCTGAGGTAGATGGTGCTCTGTGGGGGTGAGGACTTTGTCCTGGGAAGGAGAGTGAGGAGGATGGGGACATTCCTTCACACCCGACCTGTCCACTCTTCATAGAAGCACAAAGCCCCGGCGTGGCACACTGGGACCATTGTCCAGGGTCTGTTGGCAAGGACTTCCCTAGCCTGACCTTAAGCTGGGCATTAGCTGTTTCCATGGCTGCAGTGGTATACAAACGACTTAAAAGATACCTTTCCTTACCAGAGGATGAAGAGGAAGAAGAAGAAGAAGAAGGAGAAGAAGAAGGGGAAGGAGAAGTAGGAGATGTGGAAGAGGTAGAAAATGTTCAAACAGAGGCTCCAGAAGACAGTGAAAGTCTGGGAAAAGCCTTGGAGCCCGCTCAGCTGTCCTTGGAGCCGCAGGCTGCCCCTGGGGCACTTCCAGTTTCCTCTGCAGAGCCACCTCCAGCCCTGCCACCTGCTGCGGATGCCCCAGTGACGCAGGTAACCGCCCAAGTCCCTTCCTGCGGCACATGTGGCCGCGTTTCCTTGCTGAACAGCCTAAAGAATGTATTTGATTCTCCTTTAAGAAAAAGATAACTATTAATGTATGCCAGGCATTTGTGTGTGGCAGACAACAGATTTCAGGACAGTCACAATGTCAGGGAGAAAAGTCCTCTAGGTGATTCAACAGGTTCATGGTCGTTATAGGTGGTTGGCAAGACTTAATTTAGTACAGTTTTCCCGTCAATAATGCCTTCAAATCTGAGGTAATATTTGCCTGGAAATTTGTGTGTGTGTTTGTGTGTGTGTGTGTGTGTGTGTGTGTGTGTACGTGTAAGTAACATGTTAATTGATGTGACGTATATGTAAGTAACTCTCTGTTACTTAGTGAGCACAGATACAGGGTGTAAGATGAGAAATGATATAGGATATAGGGTCATAAATAAAAGGTATTATACTTTCAGAACTTTGAATTTCCTGTCAATAATAGAGGAAGTAGAGAAACTACACTGGTTTATGTTATGAAACTACACTGTTGCTCACCCTAAAATACAACTTGTATGTCTTTCTTCAGTGGGCAAGCAGTGAAGCCTGGTTTTCTATGTATTGGACCTTCAATGAGGTTGTATGTTGACAGAATTGCTTATAACACATTTACAAAATCAGCTCATCCCAGATTGGCTGACCTTGTGTTTTTAAGATGTCACTGCCCAGTCTTCAAGCCTTCGTGCTAACTGTACGACACTTCAGCAGACAGGATCCCAACCTATTGAGTTTGTGGGCAGTGTAGACTCAGCAAAGGAAACCCCTGGTTTTGCACCTGCTTTCAGAGTGGATTGAAATCATCTGTAGCACCAAAACTCCAGAAGGGGACTCAGAGGTGGAATTGTATTTCTATGCTCTGTCTCCACAGGAAACCAGGCTAAAAAATGCTATTTATAGTTTCTGGAATCTTGAAATTCTGGGTATACCAATTGCATTGAAATAGAAAGAGGTATGGTCACTAAATGAGGGTGGGATTTGATCATTGAGGTTAATTTGGGGGGCCCACATACAATTCCAACAAATTAATTCTGGTCAATAGTTTGACCCTTCTCTCATATCTGATATTTTATAAGCAACTTTCACTTGAGGCTTCACTTGGGTGCTTTCTGCCCACCCAGGATGCCACCTAGTGAAAGACAAGCAGCACGTCCAGACGCCAGACAGATGACAGCCTGGTGTCAGCCTTGCACCCTGAGCACTTCAGAGGGTGGGATGAACTAAAACAGCCACTAAGTCAGGCACTGCACACAGAGCTCAGTGTTCCAACCTGAAGGGAACTAAAATCGACTGCTTTTCTTCTTCTTCTTTTTTTTTTTTTACTTTTGAATTTATCTGTCCTAATTAAGGGGGAGGTTGTTCCCAGTGGCTCTCAGCAGACCACAGAGTCTGAAACTCCAGTCCCTGCAGCAGCGGAAACTGCGGATCCCTTGTTTTACCCTAGTTGGTATAAAGGCCAAACCCGGAAAGCCACCACCAACCCACCTTGCACCCCAGGGAGCGAAGTTCTGGGGCAAATAGGGCCTCCGGGTTCTGAGGACTCGAATGTGCAGAACGCAGAAGTGGCAGGAGCTGCAACCAGTGAGAGGGCAGCAGTGAGTGGTAAGGAAACTAGTGCACCTGCAGCTACTTCTAAGGTTAGTGTCGGTGAACTTGTGTCTGAATGCTCTCCCGTGCCCCAAGGTCCTGCTAGAATAGGCCTCAGCAAAAAAAAAAAAGGGGGGGGGACTTTCAAAGGACACAGAGAAACCACTGCCATGGGAAAAATACAGAAACAACCCACCCGCCATGTTGGCTTAAAGAAAACACAAAACAAAACAAATTTGACTTCACACTGCCCATGCGTGGTGACCTCACACCTGGCTTCCCAGAGAGGGGCGCAAGCGAGCCTGGCCTTAGGCATGCCACGGATCGCTGCTTGGTCTGCAGTGACTGGCTGTGTCCCTGGTCCTTCTTTGCGACCGCCACCTGCCCTTGCTCAAGCTTCCGTGTGTCCTCCTTGGGCTTCCAAAGACTAATCACCTGCTTCTGTGTCATTCCCAGCAACCCCCAAGGAGCACATTTGAATTAAGTTTTAAGTCTGCTCTGGAAAATAACCTTTGGTTCGTGGGTTCTGGGAGCGTGCTGGCTACAGCGAGACATGGTCTTGCTCGACTAAACCCGTGCTTCCTAAGCATGTGCTCCTGGGAGCAGAAAGCATAGGTGTTCCTCCATGGAGACTTCTACGACACTCTTAACACCTTGTTTTCTTTCCAAGCGTGAGCCACCGGGCCTGGCCCCAACACCTTGTTTTCTTTATATAATGAGAGTTTGAAGTCCATGTCTTCTCCCTAACACCTGGTTAGATGTTTGCATGAGTCCAAGAGTCGCTAGAAATCTTTTACACTTTCTTCACCAGGAAGGATGTTCATAGTGACACTCATGAGCATTCTTAAATGCTGTGTGGGGTGTGAGAGTGTGAGTGTTGCCCAGACAAGAGGCTGTCAGAAAAACACTCTCCTGCTCCTGGGTCATCAGGTGATTATAAACAACAAACAACATTTTTTCAAAAATCAGGAAATGACTTTATTATCTTCGTTCTATCTGTTCAAATGGGCCTCCATTTCCATTGGAAATGATATTTGAAAAATTAAAAGTAACACGCTTTGGGGCCAGATATTTGTTTTCATAGCTGAAACATGACAAAAATAAATGTTTGGTGTGAGGAAACCTTTTAGGTTTTAAAAAAAAATGGAGTAGATGTTATTTCTAGAAAGTTTGTAAAATTCTTACATATTTAGTGGAGGTTGTATGCTGAGGAGCTGTTTTCTGAAAACAGTAGTGCCATACTCTACTTTGGAGCACATAGGCTCCAAACCAAAATGAAAAATCCATCTAAATGATGCTGAAAAAATTATTTTGTGATAATATCAGTGAAGCTTTCTTCTTGTTTTCTCGCAGGAGTTAGCAATCTGCCTAGCACTTTTGGCTTTTCTTATACTTCACTACATCTGGAGTCAGATTCAGTGCTTGATTTTTACTTTAATGGGTAGGAAATATTTTCTTTTCCCTTGACTAACATCTCATGTAGTTCCTTCTGTAATGTTCCTCTTCTGTAGGCCCAGAGATGAGTTTCTCCCCAGCCCTTGAGGCTCAGCCATCTAAAAAGAACGGTGTTTGCAGATAATACTGGTGACCTCAAGGCACTGAGGAGAATTGCTCCATTATCTGTTCCTGCATGGAGGGCACCCTGACTCAGAACAGTGACTCTGTGGGCAATTATTCAGTAATCCAGTAGGAATGAACCTTCCCCAATGGTCACTAGGGGAGGCCAGTTTCGAAAGGTGTCCACAATGCTGCCAGCACTGGCTGCTCTTCAAGCAGAGGGAGGAGCAGCAGGGGACTTCTTCAGGGAAGTGCAGGTCTCCATAGATGACACAGCAGCATTTCATCTGCTTACACCAGATGCCCAGGAGGTGGCCCGATGCCTCCTGTTGGGAATGCTGCCCCAGACAGTTCCTATCGGGTGAGCAGGTGGCTTCTCTTTGAACCCTCAGGCTCTACAGTGTTTCTCCTGGGGGAGGAGGCCCCTGAGAGAAAGATGCCCTGGCCGCAGCAACAACTGGAGGATTGCAGCCAGGGGAGCCCGGCATGGGCAGAGCCAGCAGCCCAGAGCGCACTTACCAGCCATAGTGCATTAGAACCAAAGAAAAGCTATCGTGCCATCAAATGGTCCCTGAATATTATTAATATTTTTTAATTGCCTTTCTCATGGTCAAGCCTTTGCTTGATTACTGTTATGAGGTTTGCTTTGGGACTGACCTCTTATCCTTTTAATAGTCTTTTGAAGGTTATCAGTTTAATTAATATTCAAAGATCCAAACCCCATGTACTTTTGAGTCAATGACCCTGCTGGACCTGAGACTCAGTTCCTTTTTACCTGTAGCCCCGAAGCAGTCAGGGTCCATGATGCCAAAAGGCCTTAGCTATTTGTGGCTCACTGGCTTTTCCCTGGGTTGACGTTGACTCTTCTAGAAGCTCCCCTCATAGACTTCCCTTCTGCTGCATTAGCCGTCGGCTTGCCAATGGCTGTGGGGCGTCCGTGGGTCCCTGCTGTGTCTGTAACTGTTTGTGAGCAGGACCTGCCCCCAGTGTCTAATAATCAGCTGGAAGCCTGTGCGCCCTAGACTGTCCTGAGCATCCTTGTAGCCTGCTCATCTGCCCGGCTCCTCTTCCCAGCATTATTTGTGGTGAAGAGCAGCAGCAGGAAGTACCAGCCGTGCACTAGGCGGGGCAGATGGGGAGAGAGAAAACTCCATGCTTTATTGGAACCAGGACCTAATTGTGGATCTGAATAATTGTCTGAAGGGTTCCGTTTACATTCTGAGAATTCCAGCTTGGGGCTTTGTCATCGTATGTATATATCCTCATAATGCTTCTCTGAGGCTGCAGGGGGAGTGCCACGCTTCATGGCTGCCATCCACTGAGCCCATGTCATGTATGCTGACATTCACACGCCTGTCTGGTGAGATGAGGGTGAGGAAGGTGGGCGGGGGGTGTGTGTGCGGGGTGGGGATTGACATTAGGATCACAAAGAACCTTGCTTGCGTAGTTCTCAGTGCTTGAGAAAGGGCCTTTCACATAGAGAAGAAACCTGTTCGTGATGGAGTATCAGTCTTTGATCCCTGAGATGGATTTGCACGGGTTGATAGCGACCTTACCACGTAGCAAATTCCTGGCCTCTGTGAACTTTTTGCAGGCCCAATTCAACCTTCACCACCCCAAAACCCAATTTATCAGCTTAATATTTGTCCAGCGCATGGTTAGCTTGTTGGATTTTTACATTTCATCATTAGTCTCACCTTGAACAGTTATGATGTGTTACAAGAGTTCTTTTTATCAAATTTTATTTTTTAAATTGACACAAAAAATTGTATATATTTATGGGGTACATAGTGATGTTTTAATACCTGTAATGTATAGTGATCAGAGCTGAGTAATTAGCATATCCATTATCTCAAACATGTATTATTTCTCCGTGTTGGGAAGAGACCTTGATTCATTGGGCTTAACCTCTCTTAGCGAGATGGTCCCATGTCAGAGAGTGAGGTTACCTTAGAAACTCAGGAGTATCTCAGGCTTATTTGATCTGTAAACTCACTTCAGTCCCCGTCAGCTGAACTGCAGACCTTTTAAGAAGGCAAAGGCTCTATTTCTAGGTACTTTCTTCATATCCATTTACACAGTGAAACCTGCCCTTGGTTTTGCTGCCTGTGATTTCTGATGCTGGACAATCTCTGCTTTTATCACGTACCTTTTCTTTTCACACAAGCACATAGGCAAAAAGGAAAAAAAAGATACTAGTCATGGCAAAAACCAGATGTCAGCTCCCTCCACTGGTGATGGCGGGACTTGTACTTCTTGTTAGATCGGAGGAGCGTGGTTGCCTTCCCCACTGGCATTCTCTAAGAATACATCGTTTTTCAACAGGGTTTAGGTTCAACCTTAAGGGGAATTTATATATAGATTCACATAAAAGGCTCTGATCCCCATCCATCCTTCTGCGGGATGCACTTTGAGCCCTGCCACACCCTGTTCCCCCAGGAAACTGTGCAGAGCCCCCATACCTACATGGCTGTTAGCTGTAGAATTGCCCTCTAAGTTTCCACCCGTCTGGGCTGTGCCTGCCGTATGCTCAGTCAGTGCAAAGAATGTTTGGCAGAAATAACATTTGTCCTACTTCATGAGTTAGTTTAAAAAGTTATTTTGAAAAACTTCCACCATGCCCTAGTCAACCTCAGAAAACCAGGGAATTGTAGAGGAGGAGAAGGATGCTGTGAGACAGGTTGGCTGCCCTTGGAAAGCAGTCTCTGGGGGCCTTGTGCCCTGGTCATGCCTTGTGTGGCCCCTTCTGGTCCCATGTGCCTCCATCCACTGCCCCTGCCCTTCCCATGGCACTTCCATGCCAGTGACACCTGACTGTTAACATAGAGACCACTCCTGCCCTCACCCATTCCCGGTGGACAGTTGGGCTTTTTATTAGGAGTATGCGTGCCAGTTAAATTTTCACAGAGGTGAGAGCAGCAGCAACAAAAACCCCCTCCTGGTTTCCTCCTCCCTTCCCGCTGCAGCTTAGTGGCCTCCTGTGGAAGGATTTGCCCAAACCATTTCATGGGAGCTGTGCAAGGCACAGGGGTTTCCAGACAAATGTCTCCGTTTGGTGGATTAGCTCGGCAGCTGCTCTGGATGATATTTGAGCTGGACATTCCAGCTGCCTCAGGGTCAGAGGCCCTCACCACATCACATGCACGCGCGCACGCATGCACGCACGTACACAACACACACACCAGCGAGAGCCAATTGCTTTGGAGATGAGGACTTTGGCATCGAAATCTCTGCAATTTCTGCCTCCACAAAGAGCCACAGCTCATGTGTTGCACCAGGGCGTGAAGTTGTAATGGTAAGAGAGCCTAAAAGCTTTACTACATCATAGTTATTTGTTGTTTCAAGAAGAGAATACCTACTTTTCACATCCCAGTCTTCAAACCTGAAAATAGACAGATAAATGGGTAGAAATTCTGCCAAGGCTCAAGGCAGTGGAGAGATCAGTGAAATTAGGAGAGAGGACTTTGGTTCTAGTCCTGGAGCTGCTTCTGTG